CTAGTCTTTTGTTACTTTAATCATTCAGCTATCTTTTTGCTACTTTTAGCTTCTAGCTGGACTTCATGTACTTTTACCTTTCAGCCCTTGATATCTTAGGTAGCCTTCAGCTACTGTAACTATAAACAATCATTTTGCTAGTTTTAGCTTTTTCCTACATTTACTAACTTTGCTTTCAAGTAGTTTTCTTGTAACTTTTAGCTACTTTTTGGCTAAATTTAGCTTCCAGCTAATGTTTTAATACTTTTAGGCTAAATCTTACTTTCAGCTTCTAGCCAGACTTTGATATCCTAAGGTAGCCTTTAGCTACTGTAGCTTGAAACTATTAGTTTTCTAGTTTTAGCTTTTTGCTTTGTTTCTCTTACATTTAGCTAACCACTTGTTAACTTTGCTTTCAGGGAGTGTTCTGCTACTTTTAGCTATCTTTATGTGACTTTTGCTTTTAGCTAGCTGTTGCTCCTTGAGTTTTTAGCTAGCATTTTGTTACCTTTGTTTTCAGTGTTCTGGTAGCTTTAGCCAACATGTGGCTGCTTTTGGCAGTCAGTTAGCATTTTGCTACTTTTGGCTTTAACAAGTTTTAGCTCTTTGTGTAAATTCCAGTCAAACTTTAAGTGTGACTTCATGTTTCAGCAAAACTGCCTTTAGAGAAGGAGGAGGTTGAACAAGAATTAAAAACGTGATGGAGCCGCTTCTCGTTTTCTTTTTTCTTTTGCAGGTGACCATTTTCTTCTCCGACATCGTGGGCTTCACCTCCATCTCTGCGTCGTGCACTCCTCTGCAAGTGGTGGAGATGCTCAACAGCCTGTACATGTGCTTCGACACACGCATCGACTCCTACGACGTGTACAAGGTAACACACCGACTCCCAGACTCTGGACTGCAGGAACTGGTCCAGTCTGCTACAGGGACTGAAGGACTAGACCAGGGGTGTNTCTAGACTCAGTCATATGAAAGGTCACAAAGGTCTCGGGTCTTTTATTTTGAAATCTGGCTTCTCTCGGTAAAACCCCAACCAGAGATTTTATTCCAAACTGCTCCTGAGTTTCTGTTAAAGCGGCTTCTGTTGATTTGGGCATGTCGAACCAGGTGGAGACCATCGGAGATGCCTACATGGTGGTGAGCGGCCTCCCGGAGAGAAATGGCGACAGACACGCTGACGAGATCGCCAAGATGGCGCTGGATCTACTGGCGGCTGTCAGACAGGTGGTCATCCCTCACATGCCCAACGAGAGGCTGCAGCTGCGAGCCGGCATCCACACAGGTGAGAGGAGGACAAAATATCTTCCAACAGAGGGGAAATAAACAGGATTTAGCCTCTACTTATGTTTGTTAGCAAAATATCTCATAGACAAGAGATTTGACTGAAACTCTGAGAGTGATGAATGGTCAAACCTAAAGATGGCTGAAGCTAATATACTTTGGCTGTGTCTCAATACACAGAACTAAAACACAGCTAAATCAGAGTTAACAGTGAGCTAACACACACCTAATACACAGCTAATGCAGAGCTAATACTAAGCTAATACACTTCTAATATTGAGCTATTACAGAGCTAGCACAGAGCTAAAACACAGCTAACAAGGAGCTAATACTAAGCTAATACACAGCTAATATAGAGCTATTACAGAGCTAGCACAGAGCTAAAACACAGCTAACAAGGAGCTAATACTAAGCTAATACACAGCTAATATAGAGCTAACACAGAGCTAAAACACAGTTAACAAGGAGCTAATACTAAGCTATTATAGAGCTAACAAGGAGCAAATACACAGCTAATATAGAGCTATTACAGAGCTAACACAGAGCTAAAACACAGGTAACAAGGAGCTAATATTAAGCTAATACACAGCTAATATAGAGCTATGGATGAGGTTAGTTTTTCACAGTTTGAGCAAAACAACTACATCATTTCTGAACAAGTTAACAAACTGGCTAACTTTAATTGATCTAATAGTGCTCCTGATTGGATGAAATCATATTTGTCTGGCAGAAAACAAGCAGTACAAATAGAAAACTCCCAGTCTACCTTTCTAACCTGCTCAATTGGAGTCCCACAAGGGTCAATACTGGGACAAATCTTATTTAGCCTATATGTTAATGATCTACATAATGTCTGAAAAGCTGCGTATGTTCATACAAAAACAAAAAATTAAGCTGCTGCAGCACTTTCTGATGCCATGATACCAGTGTCTCACTGGTTCCAGGAGCCCTGCCTACAGCTTAACATTGAAAAAACAGTCTGTATGTTTTTCTCTCGACTGCCAGCAGATAGCGAGCGACCATCTGTCTTTGTCAGTGGAGAGACATTAGATGTGGTTRAACAATTTAAATACTTTGGAGTAGTTTTTGATACCAATCTGAATTTCAAGCTGCATGTAAAGAGAATTTCAGTTAAGATTAAACTTAATCTGTCAAACTTAAAACAAATAAGACCCTTTCTGACAACACAATCAGCAAAGGCTTATATGCCATGATTTTCAGCCAAATAACTTACTGTTCCACCACAGCTTAAGCTATCCTTTTGCTATTAATTTTGTTAGCTTTTTTTTCCCTACTTTTGGCTAACTATTTGTTAGCTTTGCTTTCAGGTAGTGCTGTTACCTAACATTTTGCTACTTTTGACTTTTAGCTGTTTTAGCTTCTAGCTAGCTTTTTAAAACCAGTACATTAGAAGTAACATGTTCGCTACTACTACTTTTAGTCATCTTTTTGTCTTAATTAGAAGAACCTCCTCAAACATCAAAGATTTTTTTCTTTCTTCACCTGCCGGCAGGTTGTTTTGTTTACTGAATGTTTACAGATGTTTTAACATGTGGCTCCTCAGGTCCGTGTGTGGCTGGAATAGTGGGCCACAAGATGCCGAGGTACTGCCTGTTCGGAGACACTGTGAACACGGCCTCCAGGATGGAGTCCACCAGCCTGCGTACGTACAGGATTTCAATTAAAACTTCATTTTTTCTACACTTATGCTACGCTACGCTACGTTATGTTATGCTATGCTGTTATGCTATGCTATGTTATGTTATGCTATGCTATATGTTATTCTATGCTGTTATGCTATGCTATGCTATGTTATGCTGTTATGTTATGCTATGCTATGCTATGCTATGCTATGTTATGTTATGCTGTTATGTTATGGTATGCAATGCTATGCTACGTCATGCTATGCTATGCCATATTATGTAATGTTATGCTATGCTATGCTTTTAATACATCATGAGCAAAACATGTTGGCTGAACTCATTCATCTTTGAGCTGCATCATTAAGAAAAATGTAAACAACTTAAAGAACATTTTAAAGCTTTGAGATCTGATGATGTTGAGAATAAATATTTTTAAATGTTGAAGCTTTGAGGCTTAAAGAACAAAAGATCTCAAAGGGAATATTTGTTTGTTTCCATCAGAACTATGTTGTCTTATTTTATGTTTTATATTTGTTTGTTCTGTTTTGTTTTGTTTTTTTGTTCCAGCTCAGAAAATCCACACCAGCTCAGAAACATATCTGGCTCTGATGAAAGATAACGCCTACGAGCTGCAGCTCCGTGGAGAGATCGAGGTGAAGGTAAAACATCTCTCCTTCAGCTTCACCTACTGTTGGTTAGGTTAGGGTTAGTGAAGTTTTTATATTTTTACTGTAAATAAAACTTTATGGTATAACCTGTAGAGCAGTTTTATCAAAAAAACCACAACAAATTCAACTAGAACCATATATTTGTGGCCTGTTGAAGGTTCTGTTTCCTGTTCTCCGTGGTTCTGTCAGGGAAAAGGCAAACTGAACACGTACTGGCTGGTGGGCCACAGAAACTACAGCGTTCAGAACGACAGCCTGGTTTGTAACTGGAACCCCAACATGGCCAGAAAGAAGAAGATGGCAGCCGGCAGCGAGGTGTCTGTGGGGAACGTGAGTATAAACATCACGAAAACATCTTTAATCWGTTGAAACTTTCAGGTTTTAGCTTGCATTGTGTTTCTTTTAGCAGCTGTTTTGCAGCTTATGTTTTTCTGCCTTTAGCTAACATGATCGTACTTTTAGCTTGTCTGTTGCTTTTACCAAGCACTTTTCAACTTCTGGCTTTATCAAACTGATTTTCAGCTTCTTTAGCTGTCATTTAGCATTTCTGTTGGTGTTTCTCTGATACATGTGGACCGTCAGTAACAGTTTGTTTATATATTTTATTTTGAAATGTTTTATCTCTCTAACATGTGGACCGTCAGTAACAGTTTGTTTATATATTTTATTTTGAAATGTTTTATCTTTCTAACATGGAATTTATTTATATTTTATTTTGAAATGTTTTCTCTCTCTAACATGTGGACCATCAGTAACAATTTATTCATATATTTTATTTTGAAATTTTTTCTCTCTCTAACATGTGGACCATCAGTAACAGTATTTTATTTTGAAATGTTTTCTCTCTCTAACATGTGGACCATCAGTAACAGTATTTTATTTTGAAATGTTTTCTCTCTCTAACATGTGGACCTTCAGTCGTCGGTGACGGTGCAGAGCCTCAGTGACAACACCACCACCCCGCCGGTCTCCCTCCCCTCCTCAGCGAAGACCCAGACGGCTCCGACGCCTCGGGCCGACCGACCCGGTCTGAGCGTGGCGGCCCAGATGGAGCCGTACGGCGGCAGCCACGGCACCCTGGGCTCCATGATCGGGGGGCTGCAGGGAGGAGACGACAGCCCCCTGCCCAGCCACCGGACAAACCTGACCTGCTGACTGGTTTACAGGGCTCTGGTTCCAACCAGGACCAGTGACCCTGGATACAGTTATCATGGCAACAGATGTCAAGCAATGAAACTGTTTTGTGTTTGTAATGTAGCTATTTGTGTATTTTGTGGTAAATATCTTTTAAGTTGTTCCTAAGCCTCATACTGTTCCTTTAGAAACAGTCCTGTTTCGTTTTGTTAATTTAAAAAGTCACATTTTAGCTGTTTTTGTTGTTTTTCTTTAGTTGCATAAAAATAATTAAATTAATAAATGAGAACAAGATCATTTTAAATCAAAGCCCTAATGTGCATAAAATTGTGTTTGCTTTCACTTCACAACCTGCTGCCAAACATGAAAGGGTAATGATGGTTTTGCTCTTGTCTGTTAGCAAAATATCTCATATCTAAACTCTCAGGAAATAACAGYGTTCAGGTCTTTTTCTAGATGGCCTCAGCTAATCTGCAGCTGTTTGCTTTCCAACTATTCAGATGAATGTTTGCTGTGGTAGTAGCTGAGAGTCATCCCCAACATGTACCTGAGCCAAGCATCATTTACTAAACCTTTACTTCCTCATGTACAGAGGTTTATAGTAACTAAGTACATTTACTTTGTTACAGTACTTGAGTAATTATTTTGAGGATTTGTAATTTTACCAAGTATTTTCTTTATTTTGTTACTTTTAAACCTAAAAATGATACTTTTACTTCTTTTACAGTTCAACACTCGCTACAAATTAAATCTGTCTGAACTCATCATGAAAGGAGTTGTTTATGTTCTTTAAAAAGATTAAGTGTTGTATTTACTGCAATCATGTCAACTTAACCACTAAACCCAGTATGTATGTATGTACTGTATATGTATGTATATATATATGTATGTATATGTATGTATATATATAT